TCATGGTCTACATTGGAAAATCAAGCAAACCAAGCATTTTTATAGATACAACACTGCTCAACTTCATAGATTCAATTGGCGAGTGGGATTTACCAAAGTTAATAGTGTGTGACTGCTCTGATGTTGGAATGAATATGTTAGGCAGGCGGAACCCAATTTACATATGTAAATGTTGTTAATTGGAGGGTTGACTTTCCTCATTACTCGTAAAAAACATGTTTCATCTTCATACGGGTGTGATATAAAGCGCTGGAACTGTGCGCCGAGGTTGTAACAATAATATTAACCCTTGCATTTGACATAGCGCCTAGCGCATCTTCGAGATGTCTCACAGCGCTTCGCAGACTATACTGTAGAGTGAATTGATGTATGTTTTGGATAGTGCAGATTTGAAATATATTAGGTTGTTTGATCAGCCGGGGTGTCCGACACACGCGGAAACCCATCACCATTGCTTAAGAGTCTCCAAACCAAGCTGAGAATTCAACACCTCCCACCCACACGTGGACATCCCAGCGATAGATTGTTGGAATTGCATACGCACTCTCTCTCTCTCCCTGGAGGGACACATCCTGCTTACGTAATTCCGGAAAGTATTAGGCGCAGGTTGGCAGGAGCCACGGCTTGGGGCGGGGAGCCGAGAGTGTGCGTTGGGGGGGGGGGGGGGGTAACTGCTGGGGTCTAATCAGCTAAAATCGCACAGCTTGCCATTGATACTGCTGTCTGGCCAGCTTTCCCGCTGCTTATATTATAGGGCTGATGGAGGGCTTATTATTGGTGTGCTGTTGAATAGAGCTCTGTTGTGCAGTGGGAGTCCTGCTCCGCACGTTGTTCGCTCTTTTGATCTCTTTGATGTCTCGCGACTGTTTTTTTTTTACCGTCCCACCCCACCTACCGCCAGACTAAACTCGTGTGTTTGGCTTTGAGAAATGATCTGTTCTTTTTTCCCCACTGGCAGTCAGAAACCTTAGGCAAGTTTGCCTACTCCACACGCCTGTTTACCTAGCAATAAGTAGGAATCACTTAAGTCAATTGGCGATCACTTTCCGGGGGTATTAATCCCTTAAAAATTAATTACAATAATTTGGTCACTCAATCCACGGCTGTTTGTGGGGACGGTGCTGTGCGCAATTGGCTGCCGTGTTTCGCCCACAAAATATACAGTCAATTCACTTTACAGTACGTTCTGTGAAGCGCTTTAAGACGTCTCAATAACATGATAAGGCGCTGTATCGAATGCAAGGGTTGTTATTATTATTGTTATTTTACAGTTTATTCTGTGAAACGCTTTGAGACGTCTCAATTATTATTATCATTATTATTAATATCCTCCCAACCTGAAAGGGGGCTTTTGGAAAGGTAAATTGTGGATGTTTGAGGTTGTGAATGAAGAAAGTAAGGCAAGGAAGCAAAGATGCATATATTTTGGTTTTGATCCTGTTCTTTTTTTCCTCTGGCAGCCGGGAAGGTGGACTGAAGAGACGTTAGCTGACAGCTGAGTGTTCGATTCGGTTCCGCCCGCTGAGCCTGGGTACTGCGACAACAACAAATTACATTTTGTACAGTGCCTTTCACGTCAGCAGGACGTCCCAAGGCGCTGGACAGTCAGGGATCTGCACCGGAGCTGGGGCTTGGGATCAAGAGAGGGATGGAGGGCAGGGAGGGTAGGGGTGGGAGGGTGACCGAAGGCACGGTCTGAAGACGGCCAAAATGTCCCGACATGTGGGGCTGATTGGTTGTCAGCCATTGTATCTCGCCTGCAACTGAACTGTCAGCGGGCCTTTTGAATCAGTGTGCAGACCCCTGCCGTGCAATTGCAGCACCATATGGTCTGTTAAACTGCCACTGGTTCCTCTCCAAGAGACCCACAGCTTGTCGACTGTGCGAGCGCCTGTTTTCCGGCGACGACGTGCCCACGGCTCCTCCACGCACGTTCGGTCATCGGGGGGGAATACGCCGACTGTCATTCCTAATCGCCAACCGCATCATCACCTTTTTGTGGAGCACTGTTGCTCAGTGGTTAGAGCACTCGCTTTGCAAGCGAGAGGACCTGGGTTCGATTCCCGTCAGGGCGAAACCTTGGGCAAATTTCCTTACTCCACACGCCTAATAATAATCCCTCAAGAAAAAAAAACAATAATAAATTGGTCACTTCTATCCAGAACTGTTTGTGGGACGCCTCTGCGCACAATTGGCTACTGCGTTTCGCCCATAAATATGCAGTCAATTCACTTTACGGTCCATTCTGTGAAGCGCTTTGAGACGTCGAGAAGACGTGAAAAACGCTATATCAAATGCGAGGATTCTTATTTTTGCTACAACTTTTTGGAGTTCCGCAGCGTAGTGGTTGGAGCGCTCGCCTCGCAAGCGATAGGACCTGGGTTCAAAACTTTCAAGGCAAGTTTCCTCACTCCACACGTCCTCTGTTTGCCCAGCAGTAAGTAGGAACCTGGTTGTCAGTCCAGGGTTATTAATCCCTCTTTCAAAAGAAAATTGTTCAGTGAATCCATGGCTTTTTTTTGGGACGCTGCTGTGAGCAATTGGCTGCCCACAACATATACAGTCGATCCACTTCAAAGTATATTCCGTGAAGCGCTTTGAGACGTCTCGATGAACTGATAAAGGCTCTGTATCAAATGCAAGGAAAAAAATTTCAAGCAGTCATGTTGTTGCTTGTACCACTGGATGGCACCATAACAGAGGCTGTGTTGCAAACCCTTGGATTTACTCATTGAAAAAAAATGCAAAATAATATAATATGACAATGATCACTTTTGCCATCGATCAGATTAGTGAACAGAACATAAAAATGTCTCAAAGCGCTTTACCTGGAATTATTGTCAAGCATAGGGACTGTATTTGTGTTCAAATTAAGCTTCCAATTTGGACACAGCAAATGAGCGATTTATAATAATAGTAGTAATTATTATTAATAATAATAATCGTCGGAATAAGATAAATAGCGCCTTATCATCACGTCTTCGAGACGTCTCAAAGCGCTTCACGGAAAATACTGTGACGCGAATGGACTCCATACGCTGTGCGCAATTGGCTGCCGCGTTCGCCCACATATATACAGTCAATTCACTTTGCAGTGTGTTCTGTGAAGCGCTTTGGGACGTCCTCCCGACGTGAAAAGCGCTATATCAAATGCAAGGATTATTATTATTATTATTATTATTATTTTGTGGGTGAAATTTATCTGGGGGATTGTCGGTCGCGGACCTGGGAGAAACTCCCTTCTCTTTTTAAACAGTTTTGCGAGTACTATCTTTGCTGCCCAACTGAAGAATGGGCAGAGATAATCGATGATAAATATGGGATCATCGGTGAAATACGGATGAGGACGCGAGGAGGGTGGCCGGCCCAGCGGAATTAGCCCGAACTGCTGTCATGGCATCTGATTGCTGTTTGGGAGGAGTTGCTGGTGCGGCTCAGCTGACGCATTTGCCAACGTAAGCGGCCGGTTACTCATGACAAGTACAATACGATACGAAATTGCATTCGCAAAGCGCCCTTTCGCGTCGGGAGGGTGTCCCAAGGCGCTGGACAGTCAGGGGTTGACCTGTATCCATGACCATGACTTGCATCGGGGGACTGCATCAGCCCCCGATGCGGAGTCGAACCGTTGGGGGCAAGTTTCCTTACTCCACAAGGGCCTCCGTTTGCCTCCTTGCTGCTCGGCAAACCGCGGCCGCAGCAACAAAACCACCGGCCCAGAGCGCCTTTCGCGCCGGGCGGACGGTCCGAGGCGCCGGTCGGACGGAATTTCGGACCCGAGCTGAGGGTCGGGGCGGGGCGGGGGGCAGGGGTGTGTGTGTGTGTGGGTGGGTGGGGGGGAGGGAGGGAGGGAAGCAGGGAGATCGAAAGCACGGCCGAAGAGGAGGGTCTTGAAGGTGGGGATGGAGGAGATAATAATAATAGTAGTAATAACAGAGGTGTGTGTGTGTGGGGGGGGTAAGGAAACCGGTCAAACCGGGGTCCTCTTGGCTTGCGCCGCGGGGGCGCTCTGACCCCAATAATGCAATAATAATAATAATAATGTAAGGATTATTTGCCGCTGTTAGTAAATTCATCGAATGCAAGAATTGCTATTATTATGATGACGACGATGACGATAACAATGGTCTCGTGTCTGATGGCGCCGGCACGTGCGCACCACTTCGATGGGGGGTGCGGTCGCACGCGGCAAAAAAAAGCAAACCCACTCTCCAGTCCCCTCCCTCCCCCACGTGCCTTAAAAGTTTACAACACTTATATTCTTCCAACACCTTCACAATTGTCCCTCTCCTTCACAAGATGGCGCCCGTTGGGAATCACGTGGCGACGCTGCCGCTCAGGCTCCCCTTTACAAAGATGGCGCCCGTTGGGGGGGTGGTGGCGGGGGTGGTGGTGGGAAGGATCACGTGGTGCGGTCGACTCTACCCTCCCCTTAACTCGGGCTGCTGCTTTCCTTTACAAAGATGGCGTCTGCTTCAAGGGGGGGGGGAGGTGAATGGAGTCACGTGGCTCTGCCGCTGTGACGCCGCTCCCCTTTACAAAGATGGACGCCTGCTGCTGCGGCTGACTGAAGTTCATCTTTCCAAAGATGGCCACTGTCGGTGGGATGAGGCGGGTGTCGGTTGAAATCACGTGACCCCACCGCTGTGACGTTGCTCACCTGTACAAAGATGGCGCCCGCTCCGGGGAGGAGTCACGCGGCGGCGCTCTGGCTGGGTTGGCTGGCGCTCTCCTTTACAAAGATGGTGGGTGGAGTCATCTGACGTTGTCGCTGGCTCGCTCGCTCGAGTGGGCAGGGGCTGCAGTTGGGCGCGCGCAGGCGCAGATTGGGCCGGGCTGGACTGGACGCTCGCGCTGTGGCCGTTGGGTTTCGAAAAGCTGTTCGTCGTTCGGCCGAGAACCGAAGCCGCCGCCGGTTCTGAAAGGAGGCCCCGCGCGACTCCCCCCTCCCCCCCACCCCAAACACCCACCCCCTCCCCACTCTCCCCCCCCCTCCCACCTCCCACACACACACACACACACAGCCCCGGCCCGGGAGCCATGATGTGAAGGGGCACCATCTCAGCTGCGAGAACGGAGTGGGAGACGATATCAACCAGGTACCCGACACAGTCAGTCAGTCAGTCACAGAGAGAGCCGCCGCCACCTCCTCCTCCTCCTGCCACAGGGTCCTCCACTCCCCCCCTTCCTCTCTCCGCCCCCCTTCCTCTCTCCCCCCCCCCCCCCCCTTCATCTCTCCCCCGGGAGCCGGACTCCGGCCTCGGCTGCCAAACCAACAACAGCCGGCCAACGGCACAGGCGGCTGGTATGGGGGTCTGAGGAAATGGGGGATCCCTGGGAGTTGTGAGGATATGGGGGTCTCTGGGGCCGTGAGGGTATGGGGGGTCACTGGGGCTGTGAGGGTATGGGGGGGTCCTGCGTGGGATGCTCCTGTGAGGGTATGGGGGGTCACTGGGGCTGTGAGGATATGGGGGTCTCTGGGGCCGTGAGGGTATGGGGGGTCTCTGGGGCTGTGAGGGTATGGGGGTTCGGGCTGTGAGGGTATGGGGGGGTCACTGGGCTGTGAGGGTATGGGGGGTTACTGGGGCTGTGAGGGTATGGGGGGTTACTGGGGCTGTGAGGGTATGGAGGGGCTCTGGAGCTGTGAGGGTATGGGGGTGTCACTGGAGCTGTGAGGGTATGGGGGTGTCTCGGGCTGTGAGGGTATGGGGGGTCACTGGGGCTGTGAGGGTATGGGGGGGGGGGGGTATGGGGGCTGTGAGGGTATGGGGGGGTCTCTGGGCTGTGAGGGTATGGGGGGGTCACTGGGGCTGTGAGGGTATGGGGGGGGTCTCTGGGGCTGTGAGGGTATGGGGGGTCTCTGGAGCTGTGAGGGTATGGGGGTGTCTCGGGCTGTGAGGGTATGGGGGGGTCACTGGGGCTGTGTGGGTATGGGGGGTCACTGGGGTTGTGAGGGTATGGGGGGTCACTGGGGCTGTGAGGGTATGGGGGGGTCACTGGGGCTGTGAGGGTATGGGGGGGTCACTGGGGCTGTGAGGGTATGGGGGGGTCACTGGGGCTGTGAGGGTATGGGGGGGTCTCGGGCTGTGAGGGTATGGGGGGGTCACTGGGGCTGTGAGGGTATGGGGGGGTCACTGGGGCTGTGAGGGTATGGGGGGGTCACTGGGGCTGTGAGGGTATGGGGGGTCTCTGGGCTGTGTATTTTGTGTATCTTGACTGGTATTTTGGCATGTGATACTTTGTGGGATTGGGAGTGGTGGGGGGAGTCTCACTGGGACTGTGTAGATGTGGGAGTCTTGGTGGGGCTGTGCGGATATGGAGGGTTTCATTTGGACTGTGGGAAATGGTAGGGGTGGGGGTTCCCACTGGGGATAATAATACTAATCTTTGCATTCGATATAGCGCTTTATTACAACAATTAAGATGTCTCAAAGCGCTTCACAGAATATATTGGAAAGTGAATTGACTATTTTGTGGGGATCGGGGAGTCTCGTCCTGACTGTGGAGGTGAGAGAGGATACGGCTTCAGATTGGATTTTGGAATGGGGTCCTCGAGCTTTGGGAGAAGGGAAGGAATCTTACCCAGTGTGTGTGTGTGTGTGTGTGTGTTTTGGTTTCTCAGGCTGCTGGGGAGATTTTTTGAATTTGAGTCCCAGGCTGGAGTTTGGGGTCTTGGATAGGGAATGGAGAGTGGGTGCAGTCAAAGTTTGTAAACACAATAGTAATAAATAATAATCCTAGCATTTTGCATGATGCTTTCACGTTGTTGAAGCATCTCAAAGAGTTTCACAGGATACACCTGTGTACTTTATGAGCGAAAGCATTATGTCTAAGGCAGCATCTTCGAGTATGGGTATTGGGTCAATAATAATAATAATCCTTGCATTTGATATAGCGCTTTTCATGTTTTCTAGACGTCTTAAAGCACTTCTTAGAATACACTGTGAAGTGAATTGACTATATTTGTGGGCAAAACACGGCAGCCAATTGCGCACAGCAGCATCCCACAAACAGTCATGGATTGAAGTGACCAATTTATTTTTTTTCTTGAGGGATTATTATCAAGCATGTGGAGTAAGGAAACTTGCCCATGGTTTCACCCTGCTGGGAACCCGGTCTCTCACGTTCGAAACGAGTGCTCTAACCACTGAGCTACAGGACTCCAGAAGAACAGTAGTATCCAAGATCTGCAGATGGAACAATGTTTTGGGGTTTATGTTTTGTGGGTGGGGGTTGGACTGCAATGTCTGCAAAGAATTTCGGTCACTTGCTGTGCCTGCAGGATTTTATTTGGTGGTTTGAAACTGCTGGAACTTGGCGAATGCATGTGAGAGAGGGATGCATTTCATTAAGTAAATGAAAGGGTTAATGGTGTGTTGTGAAAATAATGTCTTAGAACTAGCAAAGGCTCCCAAAAAGGATGTGTGTGTGTGTCTGTGTGTGTTGTATACCAGCAGTGACATTCATGGAAAGAATAATAGATTGTGAATTCAGGGTAAAGGGATTTAAATCACAAAAAGTGAACCAGACGGTGATATTAATCACAGCTGAGCTTTGATCAGGAGAGTGTGGAATAAGCTCCAAATGTGTTTTTACAATAAATATTGAAATATTTTTGGCATGATATAATGTACGAACACTGATGGGAAACTGTAAAATTGTGAATTCAAGCGACACTTTGGTGCTGCCAATAAGAGAGAAAAGATGGTGCAGTAAGAAAAAAAGCTGCAGAGAGCTACAGAGTCTGTAGTTAATATGTAACATTGAAGAATACTGGGCAACAAGACAAATTGTACAGGAATGAGAGATTAATGATATTGGCAACAAGAACGGAAAAGGACTGGGAACAAAACAAATTATTGCAATGATAAAAGGGGGCCGTGGGTATTGGGATGGAGCTTGAAATCAGTTCAGATGGGATAATTGAGCATGTTAGTGATGTCATTGAAGTGGGAAACATGCCGGGAGAATTCTGGAATGGATGAATGAGAGAGAGAGGTGATGCACTGGCCCTATCAGCAGCAGGGATAATGGTGCAGCAGTCGACGCAGAGTACGAAGCTGGAAATGAGTGTGTAATTTTTGACAACAGGAAAGGCTCTGGCATAAAGCAGAATGGAGACACTGTGTTTCACTGTGTAAGAATACAAGGATGATGCTGACTGCAGCCGTGCAAAGGTGTGTAGCGGAGATTAATATGGGCTGTTTGAATGAGAGCGGGAGACGCTGGTAGAAATTGAAGCTGTGGGTGTACAACTAGTCCCAGATGGGGGAAATGCTACAATAGGAGCCATGCAGGAAAGGGAGATGTAATGGGAGGGAAGCTTGTGTCTGGAGGTCAGTATGGGGAGCCAAAGTGTGTGTGCCCGCAGAATAGGCAGGGGAAATTAAAAATGTTTGGGTTGGAGTTGGGTGGGAGCTGAATCAAGAATATTGGTGCAGTGAGAATGTGCAGAGGAGGGATTGAAGCAAAGTAAACTATGGAAGTGCTCTGTGTTTGTTTGTGCAAGAAGGATCTTTAATTGACTGCAGTACAGAAGGGACACGCGGAATTGAAACCGTGAATGAAAGACAGAAGAGAGCTGGCGTTTCTAAATGGAAAACTGCAGGTAGATAAGTGAACTGCAAGCTAGTGAGAGTTAAAAGCAGCAACATTCTGATTATAGTGATTTGCAAGTGGAGGGCAGAGATTCTAATAGCAGGGGGTGCTAATTGTATTTTTCACATTGAGCTTCTTCTGATATTCCTGATGGAATGCAATAATACGCAGCAGAGATGTAGGGGCAAGGAATTGAATTGAGAGGTAATTCGAGAAAATGGAGATTAGTAGAAAGTGGATGTGTGTGTCTGTCTGGAGGGGAAACGTGCTCGTGCAAATGATGTTAGTACAGTGGATATGGGGCAAGCAGGATTATGTAGTAACAGCTAATTGTGACAGGATATTCTTAATAACAGCAAACATTATTATAATAATGTAATAGTAATATTAAGCTAGTTATTATTAACATCAAAGATGGGGAAGAAATAATGATAGGATGCTGGGAAGAATACTATCGTTCTCTTTAGAAAAATGAATATTTTATTCTCACCAAAGGGGATGAAGAGATTATAAACTGTTGTGTTTTTTAATAGGTGAACCGGTCTAAAAATGGTCCTGTGTAAAAAAAATGTATTAGTACTTCCTGATTCAAAATTGGTAAAAATTCCAGATTAATTGATATGTGAATGATTTTGTCCCCTCCCCTGAAAAAAGACAGGAAGCTGAAGGGGAAGTATAATTCCTGCTTCGTATGACCGTGATAGTCATGGTTGAAGTGACTGACCAGTGAATGTCTGAATATGTAATGCTGCTCATCGCGTTGTACTCAGAATTCTGAAAGGGTTGGAGTGTAAATAGTGTAAAATTATTTCTATATTGTGACATCTAACAGGAGCGCTTCAATTCAAAACTGCTGCTTGATGCATTAGGGTAAGGTTAGAATACTATTAAGAGTTATTCTAAATTATACTATTATAAATAATAATAAATTGGTCACTCAATCTATGACTGCTGTGTGCATTTGGCTGCCGCGTTTCGCCCACAAAATGCAAAGTCAATCCACTTTTCAGTATATTCTGTGAAGCGCCCTGAGACGCTACCCTGCATGGAGGGCGCTACGTAAGTACACGTTGTTGTCTCAAAGACGTGTTAAGCAGCTATATCAAATGCAAGGATTATTGTCATCAGGTTGTGGCTCATGTTACTGTAAAATCTGTTTAAATTCAGTCAATTGTGAGATTAAAATGGGTAAAATACTTATAAAAGGGTTTGGGGAAAGAACAGTGAAATAGGAGTAGAATAGGTGGTTCCAATGGGGAAGGTGACATTGCAAAGCCATGATGAGCAAAATGGCCTCCCTCTGTGCTGAAATGTCTTGATTCTGTGAAACCTCTGCCAATAAATGTGATTTATGACTTTTCCTTTAGAATTCCTGTTACTTCTTTTACGTTCTTCCTCTTCCAACCACCCCGCGCTAAACAGATTTGTGTGACTTATATTCTAGTGGAAAGAGAACTGAAACAATAGTTGATAGCAACAGTTCTGGTGGATAGAAATTTAC